TTCTTACTATGTCCCCGCCGTGTGTTTGCTGGTTCAACGGTAAAAAACCTGCTTGCCAAGCTTTGTTCAAACAGGGCATAAGTAAGAATCGGGTCCCCTTGGAGGCGACGTTACTCCAAGGGAAAGAGATCAAGCATCGCGAGACGCGCTTCCTAGTCCACGGATTTGAGGCCAGCAACCATTCTCGTGGCAGCTCGCTGGACATGCTCAATGAGGGTGATGTCTTTCGTGCGTCCTGAGTAGACAACTTGGTTGGCGTATTCCATGAACGGTCTGACGTAGGCTCCATAGAGTATTTGGAAGTCCGTGCGTGTAATACGGGAGAAGGTGCGTCGGATCATCCGTAAAATGGCGAATGCCTTTGGGCCGATTTCTCATGGTGCAGTGAGAAGGACAAGTCTGAGGAGACCCAGATGCCCAAATCCATTTTTGCATCTATCCTCGTGATGTTTTCTGGTCCTTTCTCTCCATGCATAACAAATGCATTCGTCGAGTCTCCTCCAAACGGTATATGAACGCTCTTTTCCTCATTCAGAAGAAGCTGCTAGTCCAACGAACACTGCTTGGCAGCGTCTACATCCATTTGGAGGGCGCTGGCATTGGTACTCCAGGATTTCAAGTCGTCCGCAAAAGGTATACATGGACTCGCAAGAACAACTGGGAGGTCGTTTACATAGATCAGAAACAGCACCGGTTCCGGGACGGAGCCTTGAGGAACTCCAGTGGAGACCGGCGCTGGAGAAGGGTAGGTCGGGCCTATTCTCACTCGGGATGATCTGTCTGATAGGAACGCCTTGATCCAGCGAAGGATCTGTCCTTGAATCCCGTAAGACTCGAGTTTGTGGAGCAGCGGAACGTGTGGGACCCTATCAGATGCCTTTGAGAAGTCAAAAAATATGGCATCCGATGTGAGTCCTTCGTCCTTGGCTTGGGTTAAGCTGTCCATAAACATGAGCATGTTTGTCACGCAAGAGCGGTGTGGGAGAAATTAGTGTTGAGCTGGAGATATCAGGTTGCTCGGAGCAAGATGGTCTAGGATAGCTCGCTTCAGAATACGTTCCGTCAACTTGCACGGCACGCTAGTGAGGCTTATAAACCTGTAGCTGCCAGGCGACAGTCGGTCTCCAGTTTTGTGGATTGGCGTGACAATCGCTTCCTTCCAATCAGAGGGAAGGCGGCCATCGTCAAGCGACAGATGAAACACCAGGTGTAGGTGATTTGCCAGTGTGGAGGACGTTTCTTCCAGGATCCTTGGATGCACCTCGTTAGGTCCAAACGCGCAGAATGGGTTGATCTTGTGCAAGAGTTGACGAATGTCCTCCACCTTGAAGAACAAGTCGGTAAGGGCTGTTTGCCGTTTCGCTTTGACACACGTGGATGTGACGCGAAGACGTTGGGGCTGAGTACAGACAGGCATAGTGTTCTCTGTAAACCTCAGATACCACTGTTGGGCCATTCGTTGGTTCTCCGTTTCTGGCCCTCTAGGAGAACGAGGATGGCTTGTTTTTGCGGCGATGCTCCATGTAATTGAAAAAGACGTTTTTGTTTTTTCGAGCAAGGTCCAGGATGGTGGCTTGTTTTCGTATGTTCCACTTGTGGATTTCTGATTTTCGGCGGTTCCGCAGTTTACGAAATTCCAGCTCACCTTCTGTATCCCCCGTAGTCAACTTTTTGAAAAAGAGTTGGGATCTTTTTTCCAGAATTCGCTGAATCCTTTTTGGCAGCCTGCTGTTCATCCGAGTGCATGCCGGTTTTCTTGGGACGAATGTCGCGTCCGCCTCGTGAAATTTCTGGACAATGTTCCCATATAGCTCTTCCACTGGAGCTGGTCCCAGTGTGACTTGTTCAAGAAAGGTACGCATTCCTGAGAAGTCTGCGTGGCAGAAGCCTCGAAACCACGATTAGGTTCGGGATTTCTGGCTCGATAACAGACGAAATCAAAGGTCAGCACACAGTGCTCGCTATGTCCCGGCAGAGTGTTAATTGTTACCTGATCAGCGAAGTGTCTTTCGTTGGTGATGACCAAATCCAGAAGGGATGGTAGTTGGCCTGAGCGGTATCTGGTGGGTCTATCGACATGTTGAGTTCAAGCGCTCTGTTGAACGACTACAATCCGCGCCGCTGCACATGTCCGCTTGATTCGACGCGCTGGAGTTCCATCTAGGAGGCCTTTGGGGCGTTGAAGCCACCTACCAGCAGGAGATGAGTGAAATGGTATTTGGAGGAGAGTTGCTCAAGGGTTTGTGTGAGGAATTGGTCATCCTCAGGGGGACTCGAAGGGCTACGGTAGACCACACCGAGAAGGAGAGAATCGGACCCGCGCAGCGGGATTTGGACCCACAGTGCATCGCAGAAGGGTGCAGGGGTGGTGTCAGCGAGGACAATCGGGATTGGTAGGGCCGCATGTAAGTACAGAGCAACCCCACCAGCCCTCCCTCGTTTTGAGTCAGCTCGAAAAATAAAGTAACCGTCTATCGAGATCTCCGCGTCGGAGACATCTGGTGTGAGCCAGGTCTCTGTGAGTGCGATTATGGACGGTTTTTCAAGGCAAGCTGACTGTCTAACATCGCCGAGTTTGTTGAAAAGGCTGAGGCAGTTTGTGTACAAGCATTTCAACACTGCCTCTGCTTCCTCCGAGGGTGAGAAGCCGAAAGGTGAGTGACCGGGGTGGTTAGAAGACTTAATAGTTGTGCGCCGCGTTTGAGTCCGAGGCTCCGAAGGGGCCTCTGGGGCGATGTCGTCTGGTTCCTGTCTTCGTGGTTTCTGGGAGTGCTTTTCGCTTGCGAGGTTTTTTCGTTCCGTGGGAACCCGGTTTGCTCGGGCCTTTCGGCTTTGAGGGACGAAGTGTTTTCCCCGTGGGCGAAAATTTCGACCGTTGCTGTTTGTAGCTCTTTCATCATCCCCATTTTGGCGACCAGATTTGCTGTTGATCAAAGATTAGCGGCAAGATTTCGCCTTCCTGGATTCTTGGGTGTTTTGGCGTGGTTTGACCAGAAAATTGTCTCTGTGGGACACTGGGCGCTGGGTAGCGGCATCAAGAATTAATGATTTTTGTGGCTCTTCCAAGAGACTCGTTTTCCACTGGGAATGC